GGCCGCCATCTTGGCTGACAGTTAATTTGCATAAGGATATGCTGATTAGCCAATGGGAAGGGTAGCGGTCGTATGCTAATTACCATGTTTCTCTTTTATTAGTGTAGACTAGAGGCCCGTTGCAGGAAGATTCCTGCAAGAATAGAGCTTCCTGAGACCACAGCGAAGCAGAGAAGGGAGTGAAGCCCACTGAGGCAGGCTTCGCTCCCTTCTCCGCTGCCTCGCTCCCTCCCTTCGCCGCTTAGCCCTCAGCTCCCTTCCTTCTCTGCCACCTGGCCTCTCTCCCTTCTCCGCCGCTTTGCTCTCACCAGGTCACGGATCCAAGGTCCGGATCCCCCGGGCAGCGTCGGGAGCTACCGGCCCCGCCTCGCCGGGTCAGGGGTCCGGGGCCCGGGTACCACAGGCAGTGTCGCGCGCTGCAGGCCCTGCCTGCAGTATGCAAATTAGTCGCCATGTTTGTTGGTGGTTAATTTGTATATCACGCTGATTAGCCAATGGGAGGCGTAGCAAAGGTACAGTCAATTACCATGTTTGTCTATTATTAGGTAGGGCATGGAAATGTTAACAATGATAGAGTTGGAATTATACGTCTTACCCCACCCCATGTTCATCTTTATTTTCTAATTTATCTAAAATGAACATTTATGTAATAAAATTACTGTGCATTATACCAATAGCTAAAGGCACATATATAAAATAAACTGCCTAAGTCCCCAAATATAAATTACAAGGATAAATAGCATAATGTCTATGTGAAAAAACATGGGCAAGAGATGAAATCAGCAAAGATTTAACATTCTTTCTGAGGCTATATGGGAAAATACAAAGGAAAAACTTAAGGCATTTCCCATGTTTTGTTACTAGTATGTTACTAATATCACTTTAGTTTATTGACTGGATAGCATAAGCCCATTAACTTTTCATCATTTTCTACATTTTCATCTGCTTTATTCTTAAGTTCCATTTTCTAGTAATTTATGAAATCAATACTTAAACTTAACTAAATTTAATTCAAATACAGTGATTTTACTAAATTAGTAAAATTTTAAAAATTGAAAGTCCATAAATAAAAAGGAAAGGATCTGAATTTTTTCACCTTATCGGTTTTTCTTAATTTTCAGTCACTAAATGTGTCCGTCTAAACTTAACAGCCAGTAAAAACAAAGCACCCAGCTGAGCTGGCAAAAAGGTAATCACTATGAACTTAAAAGCCAAAATTATTACAAAAATCACAAGATTAACTATCTGCTATAATTATCTAGAGGACACATGAAGTGTCTGCCAATTGTGCACTTACTTATTTTAACACACACATACTCTTCACAGCTGCATTCTCTGGAAAGAGCTTTAGTTCATTTGCCAAGAACTGCTGGTTTACAAGTGGGCATGCCTATCTATTTAAATAGCTTGACGGGCCTTGTCCAAGTATAATGACCTATTCAAAGACAATTCAAAATCAACTAGCAGGCTATTTTTTTAAAAAGCTTTTCTGGTGTGTGGGAGCATGCATAGGAGAGCAAGTGGTTAAGTACAGGTGCGTGTACACATGTGGTAAAGAGGATTGGTCTTACACTCTTTTCTTCTTGTAACTATCATGCCCTGTGCCAAACATATATCTAGCAACTACAAGTCACAAATAACTCTTAGATCTATATGACCATAGGACCTAGGTTACATGGCAACCCCTCTTATATATCAAGTTCTATGAAACTGCAAATCAGACTATAAAGGGTTCTGAAAATCTAAATTCTAACTGTGGCTTTACTTTTGGCTTACTATGTGAACTCAGGCTAGGAACAAACTATGTCTTCCCACATGACGAAAAACTCTAATGCTGGACCCCTGTCAACACTGTGAAGACTGTGCTGCCTAGGAAGCTAATAGAGATCTATTATAATGAAGTACAGCATTCTTTTTCAAGCAAAGTAGGGACATCACCAAGCCTAAACAGTTAAGTACTAAGAGTAATAACAATAAAGAACAAAACAAAACAAAAACACTTATTAGGGACTTCCTATGTGTGAGGCACTGTTCTAAGCACTTTCCAAAAACAGGTACCAGTTAATGAAAAAACTCACCGATAAGAGATTATCATCCCCAACACACAAATGAGGAAATTAAGGATAAGAGAAGTTGAATAAATTAGCCAAGGTCAAACTATGACACTGAGAGACCCTAGGTTTATCTAACTCCAAACCTCTTAACCACTGCCTATATAAATAAACAAAACTATAACTGAATCTGTTATTTAAATTTTTTTACTAGCTCCAAGGTAAAAATGAAAGTAACAAATCCCTGTCAATTAATTTAGTCTTAATCCCAAATATTTCTCTTTTCCCAGCCTAATACTGGTTCGCTCTCTATTGGCCACATGCAGGAATAACATATCCTCTAACAGATGTCCCCCAGGAGTTAAGCCAGCGGAATCCTCCGTCAGGACCAAGCTAAGTATCTAAATTATGGTCATAAGCAACATGTTTTAGAAATTACTATGAAAAATGGCATCAGTAGATGGTGTTTTAACAGTTATTACATCACAGTGGTGCTAAATCAAGCCATTCTGGCCATTGTGAGGTTCTGAAGTTCTTAAGCAAATATTTGTATAGCTGGTCTTTCAAGTCCTCAATGTATTGCTGAGTCTGCAGTTCAAGCTCTTACTTACTCCAGCATTTAGCAATGTTGTGACAACATTTTTGCCCGGGAGGCCTTGAATGGTCGTTCCTTTTCCTGTAGTCTTTTGCACAACAATCACATTGGGCTTGGAAGTCATTGGGATTGTAGTGATTTTGGTAGTCGTTCCTTAGAGAAGGGGGGAGAAAAGGAGGCCTGAGTTAAGAACTAGTGATATTTGACTATTTATGCTGTACATAATTAATACCTGTAATCAATGTCATCTTAAGATGACATGAAGGCTGTCATGAGGATGAAAATAAAGGCTTGGAATAGTAAATTACAAGTTGTCCTAGAATGACAGAATATTAAGAATTGACTCTTATAGCAGACATCTTTTTAGAATCTGAGGACCTACGTACCAAACTCAGAACCTAAATATATCACTATCAATTTCTTCATCAATATTCCTCTCCCAACTAGTTAACGGAGACAAATGAGAATCTCTATTCCCCCAAACATAGTATCATATATATTTCCCCCAAACATAGTATCATATATCTATGTAACTAGTGTGATGGAAAAACTCATCAAAAACATAAAAAAGAGGTAGTTAAATGCTCATCAAAATTCACATAACCCTAGACCAGGGGTGGGCAAACTTTTTGACTCGAGGGCCACAATGGGTTCTTAAACTGGACCGGAGGGCCGGAACAAAAGCATGGATGGAGTGTTTGTGTGAACTAATATAAATTCAAAGTAAACATCATTACATAAAAGGGTACGGTCTTTTTTTTTTTAGTTTTATTCATTTCAAACAGGCCGGATCCGGCCCGCGGGCAGTAGTTTGCCCACGGCTGCCCTAGACTCTAGAGAAAATTTATGGGGAAAAAAGCCATGTATTTTTATGTGATCAAAAAAGGCAAACTAAATACTGACTCAAAGACTAAACACAGGTTAAACAAGTGCTCTTAGAATCTGCAGCATTGTAAACAGTGAGGATGAAACTCTATTTTTTATTTTTATATACATAAACTTGTATTTCCATCTATTAAGATCTACTTAGTAAAGCTATATCTACCGACCCAAACATTGTATTATCTTGCCCTGTCCCCTACATCTGCTTCTCTCCTTACCTATGAACTCTATCTACCTATCAAATTTGTACCCTATATTCTTCTAATTGTCCAAGTTGGAAATCCTGGTGCAAATCTTTGATTCATGCCTTGTCTTCACGCTAACAAAATCAAAGTTTCTTGAGGTCCACACTGTATCTTTACACATCACTGATTCCTCAATGCTTAGCACACAGTGTATGGCAATTACTCAGTCATGAGTATGTGAATGAACTCAATTTGTCACCAACATGTTTTCTTTCAAAATATTATCAATATCAGTTCAATAGACAACCCTCATCTCTTTTGGCTTCCCATTATTTTCTCCCTATTTCAACTTTCTCTACTACACAAATAGTTCTGATGGTACCTGTAGCAAATATCCTAAAAAACAAAACAAAAAACAAATAAATAAACCACCTAATTTCATCATGCCAAGAACCCAGAACACGTGAAATTGGTTAAAACCTTCCTAATCCCTCTTGTATCTAGTTCCAACTTCCCATTTTGATTTTCAAATTCCTACATGATTTGCCCTTAATCTACCAATTTGATCTTATTTGTTCTGTGAGAAAAAACAAGTAATCTTTTCAGTCAAAGAAGGGAGTTCAGGCAGCTGACATTTTGGCCCGTGACTTGCAGCTCCTGTGGGGGCTGCCATTTTGAAACAGCAAAGGTCAACCCCTCCCTTTCCCCTCTAGCCAATCTCGAAAGACTATGAGCCTAAGCTCCTCCAATCAAGAGTGAGGGACAGATTACGTGAGTCAGGAATAAAAACTGAGTGACCACTGCTCAGTGTACATGCGGCTAGGCTCTGTTGGTAGCACCCTTCTGCAGAAGTAAAGACATGTGCCTTGCTGCTGGCTCCCGAGGGTGCTTCGTGTTCTACCAGGACCCCTGGTTTTGGGGGCTTGCCTTATTTCTAACAGTTCCTACTCCAAGATACACAATGTGATTCTAGTCTAACAAGTAACTTCTTGACTATGGCTTCCTATTACCTAACACACAAAGCCAAACTCCTCTGCTTAGCTTTCCAGGTTCCATCAGACTTTAATTTTCAGAATTACCTAGTATATACCTCTCCTTCAGTGTTGGTTTCCACATGGGTCCTTGAGCATAACAGTCCCAATGCGACTTTTGCACCTGTAATTTCCTTTGCCTATAAAAACAGGCAAACCATATTTTTCTTCCACAGCTTACATGTCATTTATTAAATGACTAAGCAAAGGACAGGTACTCATAAAAATATAACGGATTAATATATTCTCAAAAAGAAAAGTTAAACAAAATTTTTTTTCTACTGAAAACCTTAGCATTTTGTACAAAAGATTTAGAAATAAGATTGTACTAAGAATAAGAATATTCTAGTTAGGTAAAAGGCCTCTACTCAGAAAACTACAGGATGTTGAAAAAAGAGATAGAGGAAGACATAAACAGATGGAAGAACATACCATGTTCTAGGATTGGTAGAATCAACATCATTAAAATGTCCATACTACCCAAAGCAATCTATAAATTCAACGCACTTCCCATTAAAATACCAATGGCCTACTTCAAAGATCTAGAACGAACTCTCCAAAAATTCATCTGGAATAAAAAAAGACCCCGAATAGCTGCAGCGATCCTGAGAAAGAACAAAGTAGGTGGGATCTCAATACCAGATATCAAGCTGTATTACAAAGCCACTGTTCTCAAAACTGCCTGGTACTGGCACAAGAACAGACATATAGATCAATGGAATAGAATAGAGACCCCAGAAATCAGCCCGAACCAATATGCTCAATTAATATTTGACAAAGGAGGCAAGAACATACAATGGAGCCAAGATAGTCTCTTCAATAAATGGTGTTGGGAAAATTGGACAGATATATGCAAGAAAATGAAACTAGACCACCAACTTACACCATACACAAGAATAAACTCAAAATGGATAAAGGACTTAAATGTACGACAGGAAACCATAAAAATTCTAGAAGAATCCAAAGGCAACAAAATCTCAGACATATGCCAAAGCAATTTCTTCACTGATACAGCTCCTAGGGCAGTTGAAACTAAAGAGAAAATGAACAAATGGGACTACATCAAAATAAAAAGCTTCTGCACAGCAAAAGAAACCATCAACAAAACAACAAGAAAACCCACTGCGTGGGAAAACATATTTGCCAACGTCATATCTGATAAGGGCCTAATCTCCAAAATTTATAGGGAACTCATACAACTTAACAAAAAGAAGATAAACAATCCAATCAAAAAATGGGCAAAGGATCTAAATAGACACCTTTCAAAAGAGGACATTCAGAAAGCCAAGAGACATATGAAAACATGCTCAAAGTCACTAATCATCCGAGAGATGCAAATCAAAACAACAATGAGGTACCATCTCACACCTGTCAGAATGGCTATCATCAACAAATCAACAAACGACAAGTGCTGGAGAGGATGTGGAGAAAAAGGAACACTTGTGCACTGCTGGTGGGAATGCAGACTGGTGCAGCCACTATGGAAGACAGTATGGAGTTTCCTCAAAAAGCTGGAAATGGAACTCCCATTTGACCCTGTGATCCCACTTCTAGGAATATATCCCAAGAAACCAGAAACACCAATCAGAAAGGATATGTGCACCCATATGTTCATAGCAGCACAATTCACCATAGCTAAGATCTGGAAACAGCCTAAGTGCCCATCAGTAGATGAATGGATTAGAAAACTGTGGTACATCTACACGATGGAATACTATGCTGCTGTAAAAAAGAAGGAACTCTTACAATTTGCAACGGCATGGATGGAGCTGGAGAGCATTATGCTAAGTGAAATAAGCCAGTCAATGAAGGAAAAATACCACATGATCTCACTCATTCATGGATAATAAAGACCATTACAAACTTTTGAACAATAATAGATACAGAGGCAGAGCTGCCTCAAACTGATTGTCAAACTGCAGTGGGAAGGCCAGAGAGGGTTGGGGGGCAGAAGGGAGGGGAGTAAGAGATCAACCGAAGGACTTGTATGCATGCATATAAGCATAACCAATGGACATAAGACACTGGGGGATAGGGGAGGCCAGGGGATTGTCAAGGGCGGAGATAAAAAAGGACACATATATAATACCCTTTGTAATACTTT